ACTTTGGGTTGGAACTTGTTGCACCTTCTTTTTTAAATGAACATATGCCTATGCATTTACAGGGCGAGGGAGGCCAGGCCTGCAATAAATGTTTGGTGATTGAATAAAGGAGTCACAAAAGCTATGCTGCAGAAGAGGCATAGATAGGGGTGTGGGTCTCAATGTGAAGCATGATCCTTTAGCAAACCCGGGACCCTCGTTTAAAAACTTGGATGGAGCTCTGCTTTAAATACACAAATAGAAAGTGGATTCCTTGACCTTTACGATCACTTTGCAGTTCTCTTTCTGCTGCTGTCATTTCTTCACAAATACCTTTCCGTCACACACAAACACACAAAGTTCCATGTGGCCAACTTCAGTTCTTGTTGCCAGAAAATGAGTAAAAATGCACTGAAGTAGCTTTGCTCGGTATAAATGCTTTTGTATGAACTTCTACCACAAATTTGCCATTTTAAAAATGATAAGCCTAAATGATAAAGATAGAATACTGTGGGCAAGAGGCAGCCTGGGTACGATATGAGTGGACATGTTCTGCATTTAACTAAAATAAGAAGCATAACCTCACCACCAAGTTTCATTCTCTTTTTTACTTAAGCATTTTTTAAAAGTTAACTAATCACGAAGTTGTCCTTCTCTAAAAGATACTTCAGAAGGAAAGAGCTGAGTGAAACCTTAGACTTTAAGAAGGACACAGAAGACCAGGAAAGTCAGCAGGAGAGTGAACAAGACTTCTCACAAGGACCCTGTCCCACCGTCCGCCAGAAGCTGTGGGACATCCTGGAGAAACCTGGGTCTTCCACAGCTTCCCGCATCTTTGGGGTCATCTCCATCGTCTTCGTGGTGGTGTCTGTCGTCAACATGGCCCTGATGTCGGCTGAGTTAAGCTGGCTGGACCTGCAGGTGCTGGAGATCCTGGAGTACTTTTGCATTAGCTGGTTCACTGGGGAGTTTGCCCTGCGCTTCCTGTGCGTGCGGGACAGGTGCTGCTTCCTCCGAAAGGTGCCAAACATCATAGACCTGCTGGCCATCTTGCCCTTCTACGTCACTCTTCTGGTAGAGAGCCTGAGTGGGAGTGAGACCACGCAGGATCTGGAAAACGTGGGGCGCATCGTCCAGGTTCTGAGGCTGCTCAGGGCCCTGCGCATGCTAAAGCTGGGCAGGCATTCCACAGGTATTCAGGTTTCATTGATGTCTTTCAGTTTGTTATTATTTGTAAGCAGGAGGGGTGTGGCCCACACTCCAAGAGAAGCAACTCTGCATTGATACTCAAAACACCAACTCCCGCCCTAGCTGGTTTGGCTCGGACTGAGTGTCGGCCTGCGGACTGAAGTGTCCCGGGTTCGATTCTGATCAAGGGCATATGCCGGGGTTGCAGGCTCGATCCCCACTGTGGGGTGTGCAGGAGGCAGCCGATCAATGATTCTCTCTCATTGATGTTTCTATCTCCCTCTCTCTCTCCCTTCCTCTCTGAAATCAATAAAAATATAGTTTAAAAATTACCAACTCCCATACTCCACCCAACCATGATCTCCAAAAAGTTATTGGGAAGCAAAACCTTGAAGTTGTTATCACAGGTACAAAGGAAACCATGCCTCTCACACTGTCTCTCCCCAAGGCACTGGAGAAATCATTTGACCCCTTGTGCACCTCAATTTGGTTTAACCCTGTGCCCAGAAAATATAAAACAAAAACAGAAACCTAAAGACACTCTGCCTCTAGAAGGTGCCAAATTAAATATGCATAAACAGCACATTAAAATATATGCCTAGGTTATATATGATATTTAGAGACATAGCCAGTTTCTCTTCTGTGTCCACGAGAGTGCTTGCCACATGTGTTCTTTGGCAGAAGAGAAAGTCTGCCCTACTGAGGCTTCTCTAGCTACA